GATCTATGTGCATTCGGTAGATTCCAAACCATTTCTTCTGGCTGAATGGAACGGCGAATCTGGGGATATTTTCGAAGAACAATGGACGACAATGTGTGATAAATATGATATCAAAGATGGGGCGATCATGAAAATGAACGAGGAGTTAAGTAAAAACTGAGGACGTGCTCGACGGAAAAATCTTATTCTCATTTCCTGGAATATCCAGAAGGCAGGAGTGAGGAATTGTAGAGGAGCTGAAATTTTGGGACAACTTCGTAGTTGTCATGGAGGCTTGTTCGCGTTGCAAGAGAGTGATTTTCTTCCCAAGGCAGAGATTGAGCGTCTAGGTTGGGACCAGAGAGTTCCATCATGTGGGAAAGCTGCCCTAGTATTCGACAATGCATGGAAATGCTGTATCAAAGAATTCGTATGCTGTAGGAGGCTTCAAGACTGCTACTTCGAGGCTGGTGATCACTAGCATGTACCTTCCAGATGTTTCGATCCCGAATGCTTTTGCTATGTGGCAGCAAACCCTGACCAACCTCAATATGGTCCTCAGGGAGATGATTGCCACGAAGCTGCCAGGTGCTTGTATCATTGTCTGCGTTGATGCCAATGTGGAATTGGTGGGGAGGGGTACGGGAGTTCATCGAGGAGTAGAATACCTAATGACAGGAAGTGGTGTGGATGGAAAGGAGGAAGGAGGCGACAGCACGGCGGAAAGGAGGAAGGAGAACGACAGATGGAGGATGAGGCATGCGCTGGAATGCTTTATGCAATTGTACGGGCCCTGTGCGGCCAACACTTTCGGCGACCGTGCAGTGACGTGGGAGAGCTACGCGCGTGCACACAGCCGCCTTGTTAGGGCACCAGAGTTGCGGCCACGATTAGTAGATTACGTTCTGGTTCCTCATGGTTGGGAGGTTATTGATTGTAAGACATCCTTTCGTTTGCACAGAGGAGGGAAGACTCAGCGATCCCGTCTGAGTGATCATAAACTCCTGGAAGTTTGTGTTCGTTCCCCTGTTGTTCGTTGTCCTCGGTACTCTGCTAAACCCAGTGATAAAAGCTATGTGGGATATGAGCCAAACACGTTCGGGGATGAGATGATCGCGAGAGCTTCGATGGACTCGTTTGTTGACAATGCCAGGTGTTCCTCAGTAAGTGGTAATCCTCTGGGGGCCAGTTGTTTGTCACGACAGATTAAATAGAGCTTTACTCGGGATGAGGTGGAATATAAGACAAGAGATGACAATGGTATTAAACAACCTGTACGCCCTTATAGACTCCAAAGGTTGATTGAACTCCGTAGGGGAACCCCACCTGGGCCAGAAAGAAAACAGATCACAAAAGTTTTGAGTGGCTATCGCCGTCTATACAGCCGTCTTCGTTTGGAGTATGACTTACCATCGTCAAGGAAAAAGGAGGAGAAACCGTCTCTATAACTTGGAAGGAGTGGAGGATAGAGAGGTATGGAATAAAGTTATCTGGCAGATGTTCATGAATAAGGTATCGTGTGCCCAGACTCGTGTTGCCAATCTAGAGGTGCTGCAGTCTCTCAGACAGGCTGCGGAGCTGGAGGCTCCACCGTGCACCATCGCGCTGGCGAATATGCCTTGCTGCAGGGGAAGAATGCAGCGTAATCGCGCGACGGGGACTCATGGAGTGCCTGCAGAGATGCCCCTTCGATTGTCGTGGAAAACGTTGAGAGAGGTGCGAAGGATATTCGAGGCTGTGTTCCATAGACAGATTCCGTATCCTGATTGTTGGAGGGAGATCATAGTGAGTGTGATGCCTAAAAATCAAAACACCACGGATGCAAAGGAAACGAGACTACTGTGTATTCAAAACGCGTTATCTAAACTCTATTCTATGTGTGTGGTCAAGTTAGCGGGGGATTACATGGGGGAGGTGGGGATGTTTCGTAGATTTGGTGTGCATGGATGTGTGAAAGGACGCAGGCCATATGAGATTACGACTGCATTGAAACATTTAGGTCAAAATGCTAGCACATATCAACACGCAGATGATCAATTACATGTTGCTCTCGCTGATGTTTATCGAGCTTTTGATCATTGTACGGTTGCTAACTTCAGTTCTGCCATGGCATATTGTAGTATACCATATGTTATCCAACATGCGATGATGGAATCCGTGGTTTATAGTGATGTTGAGATCTCGTGTGAGAATCTCGACTTCGAGCAGTTCTCAAAGGTGTCCTGGGATCGCTGTATACGTACGGGCGGACCTGAAGGACCGTTTGCCTTTAATTGTATTGCCGTGGCGATGTGGGGGGAACTGTTCGAGAAATGGGACGAACAGAAGTTGGGGTATAGGGTCGAGTTCCGAGCGGGTGCGAGAGACGAACATGAGAGCGTCGAAACAGCGTCGATTTACTTGAATCATGCCTTATGGGCTGATAACATCGTTGTATTGGTGAACTCGGCGTCGGATTTGGCTCAGATGATGTTGGCAATGACGCGCTCACTTGGGAAATACAGTATGCGATGGAAAGAGGCGTCCCTGGAGTATTTAGTTTTCGGTGAACCTCTGGAGTATGATGAGAATGAACACATCGTTCCGACCATGGACCTGGTGATCAAAGGATTTCAGGACCCAGAACGTGAGTTGATATTTCGCAGAAGGGCTGAGGTTCATCTTCTAGGAGTTTGTATTCCAGCTATATTTCCTCGATATCATGCGGATGTAGCGTACAGATTGGGCAAAGGAAGACAGGCTTTCTATGTTGACATTAAGTTCTATACCAGCAGATGTATACCATTGGGGGAAAAGTATTCTAGATATCAGCAGCTTGTTCAGTCGACAGTATTGCATGGATTAGATGGAGTGACAGCAGATGAAAGTTCGATTGAGAGACTTCATGTGTTTGAGGGAGAATGTTTGCTCAGAATATTGAGAACGAGACATCTTCCCGATGAGCCGTGGGATGAGTATACACATCGGAAGTGCAGCCGATGTAGGAAAGCTTTTCGTGATCACGGGTATCAGTCGCTGGTGCAAGAATTCTTGTATCGTCAGTGGTTGCTTGCATTAGATGTGGTGTCATGTGCAAAATATCTACCTCATGATATGCCGCAGAGCGACAGAGCATGGAGGGACTCAAGGTTGGCAATGCTTGCATACGGAGTCCGATATGATGAATGGCGGCAGAATTTCGGGGATATCACGCACAGGTTTAATTCAAAAAGAAAACGGGCAGAGGAGGGCAACTACCGCAAAAGGAAAAGAGGGATTGACGCGACGGGTCTACATACATGGCACTATCCTTTTGAGAAATATTGGGGTGATCAGTGGTGGAGAGATTTCCAGCCTGAAAGCTGGAGAGAGTTTTGCACAATCTACGGTTGGCGAGGAGAAGTTCTGTTTGTTCCAGTCAAAGGTCAAAGGATCACGGGTAAGACGCACAGTGTATGATATGGAAGAGGAGGGTGGAAATGAGGCAACACGCAAACGAAGGAGGAAGGAGGAGGAGGAGGTCCATAATGAAATCATTGCCAGACGTCTAGCACTAACAAACGTGAGAGCAACTGAATGGGATTTCAAACCATATGGTTTTGGAGTAGAGATCTGTGGGGACTCTCTTCTTATCATATCCTGGCTCCTAGGGAGGTGGGCGGTAACGGACTACGTGTATCGAAAAAGAATAGGCTATATCATTGACATCATGAGCAGTTTGACGGCTATTTATGGAGTTCGGGCACCTTCGAATGGCAGGGATCCTTTTAAGCATGAGTTTCGCGAAGTAAATGAGCACGCATATCGACTCACACATGATGCCCGCGAGGGCAGATCACATGAATGGAAGCGCTCTTTTTGCATGACACACACATATGGACATATAACACCTATCGCATGGAGGGGGTCCTTCGATGGCGGTAAATCTGAGGATGGAGTAGGATGTGGTGCATGGCTCGAGGCGGCGTTCATATCCAGGTCCGACAGGATAGAGGGTAAGTTTTCGACCGTGTCCTGGCAGCTCGTCTGGGAAAAAGCATGGTTGATTCCGTCAGAGAGCACAGTCACACAGGCTGAACTATCTGCAGCAGAGTGTACGGTACACAACATTGTTCGTTTGCTTGGTGAGTTTGAGTCTTACTTTACTTGATCGTGGATTGTGAAAGATTGTGCTCACGCGGATGAATAAGAGCTTGTTCGTTGTTGTGTTGCTCGCGTGTTTGATGCGGATGATATATCATGAGCTTCGCTCTTGTCACCTGTCCGTGTGTTTGGCACGGTTTTGACTCGCATGATCATGCAAATAAGAGTCTCTGCCGAGACGGACACTGCGACTGGGCCGTCAGGCCCGTGAGAGTCGTTGCCAGCCAGCCAGCCAGCCTCCCCCCTCCGGAGCGCCGGCGGGGAGGCCGGGGGCGCGTGGTGTGTGTGCTTGTGTGATTTGTGTGCGTGTGCGTGTCCGTGGGTGTGTATGTGAGATGTTGTGTGTTTGTGTGTGTGTGTGTGCGCGTTCGCGCGTGTGTTGCGACCTCTGCGCGTGGATGTGTGTGTGTGTGTGCGTGTGTGTGTGTGTGTCTGCGTGTGTGCTGAGCATGCTGGCGTGCTTTTGTGTCCTCGTGTTGTATGTGTGTGCCCGTGCGTGCGTGCTCATGTGCGTGTGCTCGTTTGTGTGAGTGCCTCTTTGCTATCCGGGTTTTGGACGCTACCAAGTCGATGAGCGAGAGGAATTCCGGCGCGGGGTGGAGCTAGTTGGTCGATCCGGCCAGAAAAGAAGATGTGACAACTTTGGGTCGGTTTTTCTAAGATTTGAAAGATATTTGACAATTCATTTTGAGAAACAAGATTTTTCGCACCTGTAGACGACTGTGAGGGCCTCTGCGTCTTATTATGAGCTCTGTAGGTGGACTTTTACTATCAAAACACTTGGCGAAACCAACTTTATGTCGACATGAACAAAATGAATGTTCAATTTTTTGATAAATTCTCGAGAAGCTCTGTCCTTCGACTCTGAGCACTCTCACGCGTGGAAGGAGCTGTACGAGGTTCCCGGCGGTGACCAGGTTGGGCAGAGTTTACCTCCTGCTCGGCCAGGCCTCGCCGCTGGGGCCCCCCTCGTCTCGAGCTGCATTGTGCAGTAAGGAGTCTTTGGTTCTTCATGCTGTACACGGTGCTCTCACTATGAGGGACGACGGCGGCGCCGCGTTGGCTGCATCTCTTGTGGAGGCAAAGGTCCGCGCTGCTGTTCAGGCAGGTGCCCCGCGCAGGACTGTCGCAGCCGCCGCGGCTGCCGTGGCCTCGGTCATGGCGGCGACGCGGTGTGGCGTTGGTCCGGCGCAGGGCGCCCCTGATCCCGCTGCCGCCGGTTCGGCCGGTTCCCGGCGGCAGCGGAGGAGGCTGAAGAAGAAAACTATGATGTGCAGGTCGGGGCAGGACGCTGTCCTTGGGGAGCCTGTCGGGCAGACCCTAAAGACTCAGCGTGTTGATCATGAGGTAGCGCACGTGGGTTCGCACGTTCCTGTTCCTGCTCAGACGGCAGCTGATGTGAAGATGTCGGAGTTGGAGAAGGAGAACGAGGATGTGGAGATTCGTGGAAGATCGGAAGTGGTTCCTGTTTCTGTTGATCCAGGTGTTCTGAAAGAGGAGTTGCATGATGAGGAGTTGCAGGGTGAGGAGTTGCAGAATGAGGAGTTGCAGAAGGCTGATCATGATGTTGATCATGATATATCTTGTTATCACAGGTCCAGTGGTGATCATGGTGCCTCTGATTTTCATGTTGGGAGCTCTTCATCTAGGCGAGTCCAGTTTGATGATCGGCCTTCAGTGGTTTCTTATGAGATACCCCTTCAAGCGAGGCTGCGTCCCATATCGAGGAGGCCGAAGAAGAAAACTATGAGTTGCAGGTCGGGGCATGATGCTGTCCTTGGGGAGCCTGTAGGGCAGACCCTAAAGACTCAGCGTGTTGATCATGAGGTAGCGCACGTGGGTTCGCACGTTCCTGTTCCTGCTCAGACGGCAGCTGATGTGGAGATGTCGGAGTTGGAGAAGGATAGCGAGGATAACATGTCTGTTGTTTTTGCTCCTGTTAAGTCGGCAGCTGATGTTAATATCTCGGAGGTGGAGAAGGAGAACGAGGATGTGGAGATTCGTGGAAGATCGGAAGTGGTTCCTGTTTCTGTTGATCCAGGTGTTCTGAAAGAGGAGTTGCATGATGAGGAGTTGCAGGGTGAGGAGTTGCAGAATGAGGAGTTGCGGAATGAGCAGTTGCATTGTTCTCATTCTAAAGATTCTATGACTTCACACCCTGGGAGTTCAACGACTGGGAGTTTATCTAATGCAGTTGTGAGTTCAGCAGTGACGGAGGACGAGTGTCAAGCTGCCAGGGACTGGGCCCTTGCCGGTGTCGGTGTCAGTGCTCTTTGGCGTGAGCTACACCGACTCCCGAGACAGGAGTTTCAGCGTAGGACTGAGGCTCTTGATGCATACAGGCTGCAATTGGGAATTGAAAGTTCCGTGGAGGATGATTCGCAACAAGGGGGTCCTCAGAGTTCTACTTCCAGGAGTGCATTGACGCGGAGCGGCAAGAAGCATCGGAAACGGCACAGATGTTGCACGTGTGATTGATCCTGCACGCTTGATTTGTCATTGCGTTGCCTTTCTTCATGCGTGTGTGTGTTGTCGTGCATGCGCGTGTGTTGAATAAGAGCTTCGCTTGATCCCTCAAAGTAGGTCATTCGTTGCTTCCTTGATTTGAGTGCTCATTGACCTCTGAACGTGACTTTCCGTGATTTGTCACGTGGTGCCTCAAAGTAGGCCTTCGATCTTATCTGCATTCTGACCTTTATTTAATCTCTTGTGCATTCTCAGTGGTGTTGAGACGGTAATCGCTGTATAAACCAGTGGTTACTGTATGGTCTCTCACTGCTTCTCGTGTGGTCGCTGTATAAACCAGTGGTTACTGCGTTTCACTGTTTTGGTGTTATATTCTTGTGTATGGGCAGTCTTGTGCATATCTGTACCGCCTCGCTGTTTGATGCACCTCTGCTTTAATCTTTGCAGCTTCGCTGTCTTCCTGTACAGCTTCGCTGTTTACGTTCTTTGTGTTTAGGCCTGCTCCCATGGGAGCTCGAACCGGCCTTCGCAAAAGACGCAAAAGACCAGGTTGACGGTTCACCGCCGGCGCCAGTTCCGGGGCGCTGGAGAGCTAGTTGACAAGAAAAATCTCGACGGACCTTTTGCTGACTTTTCGTCGGTTGAAAATTTTGTTCTCAAAATAACACGTAGAGCTTCCCTTAGCAAGTTATCGCTGGAAGCTTAAGAGTAATTCCGGGGCGCTGGAGAGCTAGTTGGCAAGAAAAATCTCGACGGACCTTTTGCTGACTTTTGGTCGGTTGAACATTTTGTTCTCGAAATTCCTCAAGTCGTTTGAGCTCTAGTATTTTTTCCCGTGATATTCGATCTTATTCCCGCTCGCCATCTTGATCTCAGCTCGATCGGGTACCTTTTACTGCCAAAAAGCGTCCCGGCGGGATCGGCCGTTTCGAGTCATCTTGATACGCGCTCTCGGTATATTGGACTTAACTCGAGATGCAGGACAGCTACAGAGCTGGTAAGCACACCTCATCGATTCAGAATGATCAGGCGCGTTCGTCTGTTGCATCCAGAGGTCTGAACTCGGTCTGCTAGCCGAGCTAGGTCCGCAAACCTATTCGTATTATTCGAGTCATCTTGACAGGCGCTCTCGATTTCCTGTACTTAACTCGAGCTATATTACAGCTACAGAGCTGATACTTACAGAAACCGATTCAGAATCATCAGTCGCGTTTGTCTGTTCCATCGAGAGCTCTGAACTCGGTCTGCTGCCCGAACTAGAATCGCGAAACTATTCGTATTGTTCGAGTCATAGGTGCTGTCGGTTTTCTGTACTTAACTCGGGCTGTAGAAGGGCTACAGTGCTGGTAGTCACAGGAATCGATTTGGATACATCAGGCGCGTCCGCCTGTCGAATCCAGAGCTCGGGACTCGGTCTGCTGCCCGAGCTAGGTCTTCGTATTCTTCGAGTCATCCTGAGAGGTGCTCTCGGTTTTCTGCACTTAACTCGGGCTGTAGGGCGGCTGCAGGGCTGGTAATCAGAGGAATCGATTTTGAGACATCAGGCGCGTCTGCCTGTCGCATTCAGAGGTCTGAACTCGGTCCGATACTCGAGCTAGGTTTGCCAAACTATTTTTATTGTTCGAGTCATCTTGAGAGGTGCTGTCGATTTACGCACGTAACTCGGGCGGTAGGAGAGCTACAGAGCTCGTGCAGAAGACAATCCAGAAGCATCGGGGGCGTTCGGCTGTTGCATCGAGAGGTCTGAAATCGCTTGCGCTGAAAAACTATTCGTTCTCTGCAATATTTTTTCGACCTTATATATTGTCAGGAAGCTCTACGAGTCTCCCGGCGGTAAGAAAGGTTGACGGTTTGAGCTCTAGTATTTTTTCTGACCATATTCGATCTTCGTCGCGCTCGCCATCTTAATCTCAGCTCGATCGGGTACTTACTACTGCCAAAAAGCGTTGCGGCGGGATCGGCCGTTTCGGGTCATCTTGACACGCGGTAACGGTTTTCTGAACATAACTCGAGCTATAGGTGATCTGCAGAGATGATACTTACGGAAACCGCTTCATAATTATCAGGCGCGTTTGTCGGTCGAATGCAGAGGTCTGAACTCGGGCTGCTGCTCGAGCTAGGTCCGCGAAACCGTTCGTATTGTTCGAGTCCTCCTGAGAGTTGCTGTCGGTTTTCTGTACTGAACTCGGGCTGTAGGGGGGCTACAGGGCTGGTAATTACAGAAACCGATTCTTAGGCATCAGTTGCGTCCATCTGTTGCATACAGAGGCCTCAACTCGGTCTGCTACTTGAGCTATATTGCTCGAGCCATCTCCAAGGAACTGTCAGTTTTCTGTACTTAACTGCAGCTCCAGGAAGCTACAAAGCCGATGCGCACAGAAAGCGATGCATAATAATCAGGCGCGTTCGTTCGTTGCATTCAGAGGTCTGAACTCGGTCTGCGACTCGGGTTAGGGCCGCGAAACTATTCGTATCGTTTGAGTCATCTTGGGAGCCGCTGTCGGTTTTCGCACGTAACCCAGGCTACAGGAGAGCTACAGAGCTGAGATGCACAGAAACTGATTTAGAATCATCAGGACCGTCGTCTGTTCTATCCAGAGGTCTGAACTGGGTCTGCTACTCGGGCTAGGTCCGCAAAACTATTTGTATTCGTCGCGTCATTTTGACAGATGTTGTCTATTCTATGTATTCAACTTGTGCTGTAGGGGGGCTACAGAGCTGGTGCGTACAGGAGCGGATCCAGAAGCATCAGAAGCGTTTGCAGTCTGCTATCCGAGGTAGGTTTACAATACTATTCGTTTCGAGCGATACTTGTTCGAAATTATCGTGAATTTCTTCACTGTTCTCGAGGGGCCGAAACATTAGAAGCACATCGTGAGGCGCGAAGAATCTAGACGCTAGATTTGGGTCCATTCTGAGTGCAGAATTCGTACTCTGCAACTTTCTCTCGGACGGTATTTTCTATACGCACAGCAAGTATGCTATCAGCGCTCGGGCTGAACAACCATTCGTTCTCTGCTAATTCTTTGAACATAATATATTGTCAGGAAGCTCTACGAGTCCCCCGGCGGTAAGAAAGGTTGACGGTTTACCGCTGGCGCCCAGTAATTCCGGCGCGCTGGAGAGCTAGTTAGCAAGAAAAATTTCGACGGACCTTTTGGTGACTTTGAGTCGGTTGAAAATTTTGTTCTCGAAATTCCACCATTCGTTAGAGCTCTAGTATATTTCCCGTGATATTCGATTTCATTTCCGCTCGCCGTCTTGATCTCAGCTCGATCGGGTACGTTTTACTACCAAAAAGCGCCCAGGCGGGATCGGCCGTTTCGAGTCATCTCGACAGGCGTTGTTGGTTTTTTTGTACTTAACTCGAGCTATAGGACAGCTACAGAGCTGATACTTACAGCCACCGGTTCAGAATCACGAGTCGCGTTTGTCTATTGAATCCAGAGCTCTGAACTCGGCCTGCTGCCCGAGCTAGGTTCGCGAAGCTATTCGTATTGTTCGAGTCATCTTGAGAGATGCTGTCAGTTTCCGTGCTCAACTCGGGCTGTGGGGGGGCTGCAGGGCTGGTAATCACAGGAATCGATTTGGAGAAATCAGGCGCGTCCGCCTGTCGAATCCAGAGCTCGGACTTCGTTCTGCTGCCCGAGCTACGTCCGCAAATCTATTCGTATTGTTCGAGTCATTTTGAGAGGTGCTGTCGGTTTGCTGCACTTAACTCGGGCTGTGGGGGGGCTGCAGGGCTGGTAATCACAGGAATCGATTCGGAGACATCAGGCGCGTCCGCCTGTCGCACTCAGAGGTCTGAAGTGGGTCTGATACTCGAGCTCGGTTCGCGAAACTATTCGTGTTGTTCGAGTCATCTTGAGAGGTGCTGTCGATTTTCGCACGTACCTCGAGCTGTAGGAGAGCTACAGAGCTCGTGCGCACAGAAAACGATCCAGAAGCATCAGGGGCGTTCAGCTGTTGCATCGAGAGGTCCGAAATGGCTTAGGCTGAAACTATTCGTTCTCTGCATTTTTTCGACATCATATATGGTCAGGAAGCTCTGCGAGTCCCCTGGCGGTAAGAAAGGTTGACGGTTTACCGCCGGCGCCCAGTTTGGTCGGTTTTGCTAAGATCTGAGAGATATTTGGCCATTTCTTTTGATAAAGCAGATTTTTCGCACCTATAAACGACTATGAGGGCCTCTGCGTCTTAATATGAGCTCTGTAGACGCAAATTTATTATTGGGAACCAACTTCATGTCGACATGAAAAAAATGAATGTGTTCAATTTTTCGAGAAATGCCTCGAGAAGCTCTCTCTTTCGACTCTGAGCATTTTACGCGTGGAAGGAGCTCTACGAGGTCTCCGGCGGTGACCAGGTTGTGAGACTGGGAGATTATCTAATGCAGTTGTGAGTTCAGCAGTGACGGAGGACGAGTGTCAAGCTGCCAGGGACTGGGCCCTTGCCGGTGTCGATGTCAGTGCTCTTTGGCGTGAGCTACACCGACTCCCGAGACAGGAGTTTCAGCGTAGGACTGAGGCTCTTAATGCATACAGGCTGCAATAGGGAATTGAAAGTTCCGAGGAGGATGATTCGCAACAAGGGGGTCCTCAGAGTTCTACTTCCAGGAGTGCATTGACGCGGAGCGGCAAGAAGCATCGGAAACGGCACAGATGATGCACATGTGATTGATCCTGCACGCTTGATTTGTCATTGCGTTGCCTTTCTTTATGCCTGTGTGTGTTGTCGTGCATGCGCGTGTGTTGAATAAGAGCTTCGCTGGATCCCTCAAAGTAGGTCATTCGTTGCTTCCTTGATTTGAGTACTCATTGACCTTTGAACGTGACTTTCCGTGATTTGTCACGTGGTGTTTCAAAGTAGGCCTTTGATCTTATCTGCATTCTTACCTTTAATCTCTTGTGCATTCTCAGTGGTGTTGAGACGGTAATCGCTGTATAAACCAGTGGTTACTGTATGGTCTCTCACTGCTTCTCGTGTGGTCGCTGTATAAACCAGTGGTTGCTGCGTTTCACTGTTTTGGTGTTATATTCTTGTGCATGGGCAGTCTTGTGCATATCTGTACAGCCTCGCTGTTTGATGCACCTCTGCTTTAATCTTTGCAGCTTCGCTGTCTTCCTGTACAGCTTCGCTGTCTAGGTTCTTTGTGTTTAGGCCTGCTCCCATGGGAGCTCGAACCGGCCTTCGCAAAAGACGCAAGACCAGGTTGAGCAGAGCTTACCTCCTGCTTAGCCTGGCCTCACCGCTGG